AGACGGAAGGGCGCTGGCACCCCCCAACTACATTTTCACCCAATACCTCTTTTCATTGATTACTCCCACACGAAAAAAACGAACGCATACATCTTGTTAATAGCATGTGTTGGGGTCCATAGAAGAGTCAAAGAATCGAGCTCAATTGGCTACTCATCCCAAAAACCTATCGGTATCCGAAACCTTTCCGAACACCCTTTAGAACGACGACTGCTTTGAAGGACCCAGCCCCGCTAACAACAAATGACGGACAATCTCACGGTTGATTTCACATAGAAAACTAATGTGCTGTCCAGAACTAGGCCGCTTTGATTGATCGCACTTGGCATTACGCCGCAGAAGGTTATCAGATCAAGGTGAAATAAAGTCAGGTAAGTCTCCTACTCCATTCATAAGAGCCTGAGCGACCAAAAGTTACAAAATAATTTCAAGAAAAGTTGTTCTGTAAAAGAAAAGAAAACTAGGGCGCGAAGATGTGCTACTGCTTTACTTAATTGACGAACATACAGCAGCTTTTAAGAATACTAGCATGAAAACCAAGAGCAACTCCCTCAGAGAAAGCAATAATGTTTTTTTTCGTCAACACCGAATAATCTCTCGCTGAGCGTCAGGGTCCACATACGTACAAGTCACGCAATGAGTTACACAGGGGTTTCGCTCAGGATAATACGCTCCCCATTCCTATTGCCTTTGCCGATGAATGGATTTCATGGAATTCGGCGACTGAAGCTAGAAGAGCACATTGGTTCTTAAGTGAATAGCTGCTACTTTGGTGGACGATGGTACTGATTCCCCCTCGAATTCTTCGTAATTCTCTCTTTGAAGACGATTCTACTCGGTTTCTGTTTCTGTTTCTGTCTGTGTCGGAAAAAGGAAGATCCAAATGAATCAAAAACAAAGAAAACGCAGTTTTCAATCGATACTTCATTTTTACAGAACTCTCCCACACCGATGCTCGCTTGTGCAGAGGTATAGTAACAAATCATGCTCTAACAATTTACTTCCGGCCTTCCTTCGCGCAATTCGAAACAAATAACCTCCTAATGAACACAGTCAATAAAGAAGCAATCTCTCGCTGAGTCGCAGGCCCCCAAGTTGTGAAAGTGCCCCTAATTCACCAAAATAGTCAGAAGCTTCTAGCTGCATGAAATGACTGAATAAGAACCTACGAAATCAGAAAGTAGTTTACGCGCATCTCAGTTTGTTTGCTTTCGGAATCAGCGATATAACTCGACAAGTAAAAATCATAAAAGGTCGTAACAGCAGGGCAGATACCTAAAGAGAAAAACGATTGATCTCATCCGCCGAAGACACAAACTTATGACCCCGCACATTTGGGACAGTATGCTTATCCATCACACTACCAATCGCCTGTTTCCATCGATTTTCGAGCATTACTTATAAAAAACACGGAATGTTTTGGATGCCATGTTCAGGAAACGTTATTGCAACTCCCCAGAGAACATCAAGCACAAATTAAAAGCATATTAAAACTCGTCCTGATATCAGATTAATAACTCATAATGTTTAGCCTATTGACAATTCCTTTTGTCAGTGTTAGTGTTGCGTTAACAAACGTGGCATCTTACTATGACGAGAACGGTTCAAGTAAGGTTTTTATCGGAAAGTTGTGGCTTATGAGTCTTCAGAGAGTATAAATAAAAACTGAAAAAAAACATGAGGAGATCTACCTATAGAACCCACTTCTGAATTGGTAGAATGTTGAAAGTTTTATGAGCTCATTAAGTGCAAACTTACTTTGAACCTATTCTCGGCACCGGGTTCCTTATTTTTATCTGGATGGAACTTCAAGGCCATCTTTCTGTAAGCCTTCTTGATCTCATCTTCGCTGGCTCCTTTCGCTACGCCGAGGATTTTGTAATAATCTTTTCCCATTTTAGCAAGTAATTTCCCTGAATATTTAAACAGAAGTAATTAGGAAAAGAATGGCATTACCCAAAAATGCACGAGACCCGGTTCAAAAATAATTCACTTCTACAAAGGACAGTACATGAGGACAATTACAGCGGCAAAACATAGAGACAAGCCCACATATGCAGGAAATTTATGGTGAAAGAAGGAAAAATCCAACATCTCAACAGCGTAACAGCTATCCGCAAGTCTGAATTGCTGGGCGTTAACCGCAGCGAGCGCTCTAGAACCTTCGCGGAGTTTCTCCCTGCTCCCACTACGAAAATTATGTTCGATCTTCCGCTGCCTATGACAGCAAGCACATGGTGTGGCTCAGTATAGCTGCCGTTAAAACAAAGGCTACAGCGTTGTTGCTGTCGTGTCGTAGACCGCAAAAGTTGGTGGGTGGTCCACAGGTTCGTTTCCGAAGTTGTAAGATGTCCCAGAAATCGGTGGTTTCCTTCCTAGATGTGTTTATCTGCTACGGTTTAGTAGCAGTTGCAAGGATTGTGTGGAAATTCAAGGTTTCTGGTCAATTACGTGTTTGCAAAAACAATTGTCGTTATGTTTGGTATTATTTAACTTGTGTAGCGGCTATTCTCTGCAGAGCTTCACATTCTGGTATTTATTTTTATTGTTACTTTCATCTTCTAACGTTCTGTTTCATTAAAAAATTTTTTTCCAAAGTAATCGGAAGTTAGAATCATGACCACCTTCGCTGCAAGAAGAGCTGTGCATATATTCTCAGTAGAATTGCGGCACTTTAGTTCCAGCCTACAAATTTAATGAAATTATTAATGAAAAAGTATGCTGTTTATTTTTTTNTTTTTTTATGTTATCAGATTTATTCGTCTACTGTAATCCTCTCCCTGCTACTCTTTTCTTTTGCACTGCATTACTGTTTCGTTAATTACTACCTAATTCAGTTTATCGTTTTCATATGTTCCACCGCAGTCGCAGAAAATCCACTACCAAACACGTCTGGGGTCAGATGAGCTAATAAGGCTGCTTAATGTTCCCAGATAGGTATGACTCAAAGGAAAACCTATGCTCCTAATTGACACCTTGCAGCGCTGCCTGAAGGTGGTTGAAGATCATTAGTTTCTACTGATATCATTGTGCTCAAGTGGGTCCTCACAGAAATTCCCAGCTCCAGTTCATCACATATATGCCTTAACAGTTTGGGTGATTGTTCCGCTGTAGAAAGAACCTATCAATGGCTACTTTTTCAGTCCCGCCAATGAAGGAAATCGCAACTCTGTTCTGGCGACTTATGGACAAAACTTCAGTCCCATCCAAGACTGAAGTATTGCCCATAAATCGCCAACCTTGTGAGACTTTCGGAACGCGTACTGCTGCGATATAACAGCAGTTAACAAAACATCAAGCCAAAGCAAATCGCAATCGAATGGTCGCTAAGTTGAGGCGAAGTATACACCTATAATACGATTTCCTCTGTATAAGAGCTAAACCAACCTACCTGTTGAGCTTCCTCTTAACTGTGACTGCTTCAGTTTGCAGTAGGTTTCCCTTATTGCTACCTTTATCGTAATCATGGGGAGTTTTGCTCACGGGCAGACATACAGACAATTAAACTGACAGAAACTGTCAGACCGCCAGACCGACGGAGGGACATACCAATTTACTGCTTCATATCTACGAATTTACCACTTTATCATGAAATGTAATTCTATCCGATTTCAGAATGCCCTGCTTGCCACTAAATTAAAAGCCGGTTTCTGTTGACTACCGATGCCTTTCGTCTCTAGGATTCGTCAACTTGTACTAGAACCATCTGAACATGGTTGGCGCTTCGCGTCATTCGAGCAAGAAGACCTCCTAGGAACACCAAAGAATATTGGGGACTGCAAAAGTCCTGTGGCACTCGAATTCTCTGCTTTAGTATGCATCATATTCACTAAGAGTGTCAATGAAATTAGTGCAATCATTCGAGGAAGTCGACGGTTCCTTCTGTTGGGAAGGCAGGGGAAGGCAAACAAAATTACTATGTACCTCCATTATACTCATGTCTGCATCTGCCATTCGCTCCTTCGCGACTACAGCTGACTTTTTTGTACGAGACATTTTGAGAGATACCAGCTAGGTCTTCCCCGACAATCGCAAGAGGCTCGCTCTTCCTTTTTCGCTAACGGAATATCTACCCCTGCAGCTGGAAGTAAAACCACACCCGAGGAGAAATCGATGCCCAGACTTTCATGACCTCCGAGTTTCGTTCTTAAACTTAAGAAACGCAAAAAACTTTTTCATTTTATTTTTTCCATTATTAGCATAACACTTTTTCCCAAACTCACTACTAGACCTTGCAGTTCACCCAGTGTAGCAAGAGTATGGCTTGGCTATCATTCTAGCCACCGCCCTCTGCACTTTTTCGAACTCATTTCTTTAATCCCTCTTCAAGCCCTTCGAGTGTAAGGAAACTCTTCTGATGACTTTCAAAACTACTACCATTTTTTTCGACTGTAGTACTTCAAAGTTTCCAAAGCCTCTCCTGCATAGGTGACCATAGCAGAGCGCTTCTTTCAAGGTCTTCAATCAGCCTAGCAAAACCTCTCAGTCCCGGCCGTATGGTCGATCCTTTTTTCTCAAGGGCCGTAGACGACTTCTCGTGATTGGCTTAAAGGAACCAACCCCATCATCATATTCTAAGAAAAACTTTCTCTGATTACTGGTGACCAGATGCGACTGTGACTTGAAGGCAAGGGATCAACAAAGGTTGACAATCAGCTGATGCCGCTCTTTCATTTTTCTAAGCACGAAATCTCTGATACACCCGTTCTATGGGCGAGTGTCACAGGTCCACGTGTTCACAAGGTCGCTGGTGGGATCGGGTTTTCAGTACGATTTTGTGGTCAGATGGATGCTTTTCCTAACTTTCTGCCCACCTTTCTGGTTCTACCTGCCTCTCATGCTCAGGTCTAAGGCTCATTATGGCGCTCTTCGTTAAGTCACATCAAATCGTTAAGTCAACCTATACAGATTGGATCGCATTGAAGGGTCGCAGCTCAGTGTTTCCCTCTCCTGCCGAAACTGCTCGTTCTTACGGTCTAATGTCGTTTGAACTGGAGGTATATATTTAAGATGTGTCAGTGTACTGATCAAGCTGTTGACTTCCCATGTAACTAGGAATCTACCAAATATCACGTAAAACAAAGTGACAAGCCCCTGTTTCACTTTTCTGGAATTCTTCTGCCGGCATAGTTGGCATACTGTAGCTAATATTGATAGTGCTAGTTTGGGAGCTCAAGAAGTCGCACTTCCAAGCATTCCTGATTCCGAGAGCAGATCGAATTCATGGCGAATCCCTCATGGGTTCAGAACAAGTGGGTAATTTCCCTTAATCTTTTAGGTTCAAGCTAAGTATAGAGTTCCTTGTTTGGTTTTTTTGATTCGAGATTCTCCACATGCTTGAAGGGATGATAGTCCGATCACAGTGTTCCACTGAGCACGCTATGCTTTCCATCCCCTGACAGTGCGGAGGAAAACAGTATTACTCATTTGCGGTTTTCATTAAAGCGAACACTGAAGGTGTAGGTGTAATTTGATGGAATTGGCTAAAAATGAGCTAGTCTGGCCAAAAACCAGAAAGTAATTATCGTCAATAAGAGTTTCATTGACGATTTTGATGCAGACATTTGTCCCTTGCAATCCGTCGACGATCCACGGCTGCTAGGTTCGGACAACGGCCACGGATCGAGATGGCTAGACGAAAGGAGGCACCTGTCAAACATTCGGCATCGTCGCAGTTTAAATAAAATCGATTGCTGAGCCTCTGTCGCTTTTGCTCGTTGTCAGTTCCTGCTATTGTCCGAACTTTTGATTGTTGTTTGGCATTGTTCAAATTTTTCTTACGTAATTTGCATCAGTGCTTCTTGCGATCACGATTTCGCTATCATGTTTTGTCGGATCCCTTTTCTTTCAAATTTTGAGTTCATCATTTCGATTAATTATTGCGTTAAACTGTTCCTGATCTTATCTGTCTGTTAGTTGGATCGAGGAGGCGCCGCCATGCCTGCTCAGTTGATGGGATTAAATGTAGTCTGTATAGGGTACCTGTAATTCGGTAGAAGACCTCACAGTGGAATAGAGCGACCGAGTTGACCGTCCTCCTTTCACAAATTTTTACAAAAGTCAATTGCCGAGAGAAACTCTCGAATGCGACAACAGTTTGCTTTCACAAAAACCAAACAACTCTAGCGTTGCTTCCTTTTTGGTCCTTGAGAGCTTTCAACTCGCACAGTTTGATCAGGACTATTGCACGGTACTGCTAGCTGAAAACCACGATTTGGCGGTACAACATTCTGTACACACACGGTCTGCGTGACAATTAAGCGTTCGTTTCCAATGATTGTTTGTTTTATTTTTGCGGTTTAAGCCCTTCAGAGTCCTTCGGCTATGAATTGACAGGGATTCACCACAGGCAGGGAAAATGTGCTGTCAAACGTAGTCTAAAACTGGATGAGCGAATAGGACTCATTTCCTTGGATTCTGGATGAGGTCACCTGAATATGCTTCTGTTTCTCAGTTCGAGAGCCTTACGAAGGATGAGAGGTCGTTAGTTTTAATTATTGCAGTATCGGCTGGTGGTATGTGTAGCGTCTGAAGCTGAAGTGTCTTCTGTCAGTCGTGGTAATCTCAGTTCTGACAGTGGGTTCCCACTCCAATACCGTATCTCTTAATCATTATGTAATGTAGTTACCGTATTGCAGAAGAAAGCCCAGCTTATGACAATGTTTTTTTCTCACGCCACAAATTGATATAGCTATTGATTGATCAGTATGCCAAGTCCAGGTGTAAACCTATTTTATGATCTCTGCTGAGCTTAAAAGTGCTATCGTTAATGTCATACGGATCTCCTCTCAAGTGTTACTACCTCAGTCTCCTGTTGATTTCCCTGATTTTCCATTTCAATACCTTTTTGGTAAATAAAAGGCTCTGTGAAAGGGCAGGCAAACCGACATTCCGAC